TCCCCTTCCCCCGCCTTTCTATTGTCCGGTGCTGAACTCCTTCGGGATAAAACTTCCCTCCGTGACCGCGGGACTCGGGCCGCTTCTCGGAACGCGGCTCTTTTATCTCGGGCAGCGTTGATTTGGCTTTAATGGGCGCCTCGCCCGCTGTCCCGCTTCGGGAGCGTTGGCTTTCAACCTGGCTGCTGTGTCGGGGCAGCTCTGTCAGGGACGAGCTCTCAGTCTTTCCCCTTGTCTCGCATGGCGGTATTTTTTTCAGCCATCTGATTTTTTTTGTTTCTTGTAAAGCGCAGGAGTTAAAATGCTTCTAAAGGCCTCCGAGTAAGCAGTTTGTTTTCCCAGAGCCTTAAGTACGGGAAGCCCAAATTAGTGCCTCCCTCTTGCCTCGGAGCACTGGTCTGGTGAGAATTTGGCGTAGTCACATGTCTGGGCTTTTTACACCCTGAAAAGGTGGGGTCTCAGGGTTGTTTTCATCTAAAAAAATAAAGATCGTGTATCTTACTAATTCTTTACATTCCGGGGTGCAGTTCAGGTTGCTCTGCTTCTTTTAACAAGTTGCTCAGCCTGCTGAATGATACTTAAAAAACCAAAACAAAACACTTCAGTGTGTAAGCTCACACATTCTAATGGCAAAAATCGGTTTGTTATCAGCTGTCCTCACCGGATTCCTGGCAGAGCTACGCACGGTAAATAGTTGTGATTTTCCTGTAGAAGTTGTAGCGTGAGAGCCTTCACTCCGCGTTACCTTCTGAAAATCTTGGTGCCTTCTCTTCACCTGGTGGAAGCTGTTCCCCCGTTGAAACTCAGAGGGCTGCTTCTGAAAACGCCTTTGCGTTTTTTGCCGAGCTGGCAGTGAGGGGCCTCTTTGGCCACGGGGCTGCTTCCCTCTGCTGCTCCCACCCAAACCCATACCTCGCTGTGCTTTTTGAACGGTCCCGTTGGAGTAAGGTGCTTTGTTAAAGCATGCAAGGAGTTCGTCTGGGGAATCCTGCTTGGGAAAGTCACCTGGAGGTTCTGCTGCCGATGCTTCATTTGTCCCCTCGCTACGTAGGAATTCCCCCCCATTCCATGTAAAAAGTAATTTTCATGAAAGGCTTTATTGCCTGTTCTTTTGGAAATGAGAAAAGTTTTAATCCCCTACTGAAGCTTGACATAGGACGAGAGGATGAAGTTTAAGATGCAATTTATTGGGGAGGGGTGGGTGTGAACTGGGAGGATATCGCACGTTTCTTGAATAAAAATCCTTAAACGCTGTTGGTGCTCATTTCATGTGGTGTTTATTACCAAATGAATTGCAACAATATTCCAGGAATTGATAATTCTTGGCAAATAAAACGGCCCTTCCTGTTGGATCATTTTAATACTCTCCCCGTTAAGGCTACTTTATGTAAAACATTTCCTGCGTGAGGCCCGCGAGAGGAACAGGAAGAGAAATGGCTCTGGGGTGAGCTCGAGAGGTTTGGAAACTTGGGAGGTTCCCTGTTCTTGTGCTTTGCTGGAAATAACCTTTTTTTGGAGGTTATGGAAATCAGTTGGGTCTGTGTCTGTACTTTAACTGAAGGAATGCGCCCTTCTATTTAGTAATTCTAATAGGACGGCTCTTTAAACCGGTAGGTGCAGATGGGTTTAATTAGTTCATTACTGCTGGCCCTCCAAGCGCAGCCAGGCCCATCTGTCCTCGCTGGTGAGCAGGCACCGGGGGACGGCAGGGCCCGGCGTTCCCGTGCAGGGCGTTCTTTAGGCAGTTCACTTGAAGGGAGGGAATTCCTGCGTGGCTTCCTGGCGGCAGCGGCTGGACCGGGC